AGGGGTACCCCTAATAATACTACCAACCTACCACCAAAACGGGACCCGTAGAACATGTCAGACCCTACACTGGACCGACATCATACAAAGGCAACCCCCCTCGGTACACCCCACACCCTCCCTCCAATGGTCCTATGCCCGGAAGCCTCAGCCGTAAACCTTATAAACCACCCCAAACCCCAAACCCCAAACCCTAAACCCCTACACCCCAAACCCTAAACCCCTAAATCCCTACACCCCAAACCGAAAACCCTAAACCCCTACACCCCAAACCCTAAACCCTACACCCCAAACCCTAAACCCAAAAACCCTACAACCCAAACCCTAAACCCCTACACCCCAAACCCTAAACCCCCACGCCCCAAACCCTAAACCCTACGCCCCAAACCCCAAACTCGAAACATCACACCCTCGACCGTACCGGGGGCCCCCAACGCTGTCTCCTCACTCCGGGGTGCCTGTCAGTCGTCAACCATGGAATGTTTGAAGGTTTTAGGGTTTAGGGTTTAGGGTTTAGGGTCTAGGGTTTAGGGTTTAGGGTCTAGGGTTTAGGGTTTAGGGACTAGGGTTTAGGGTTTAGGGTTCAGACTTTCAGGGTTTAGAATTTAGGGTTTAGGGCTTGAAGGTCAGGGGTTTAGGATACTTTAGGGTTCAGAGATTAGGGTCAAGGGTTGAGGGTTCAGAGTTTCAGGGTTTAGAATTTAGGGTTTAGAGCTTAGGCTTTAGAGTTTAGGGCTCAGAGTTTAGGGTTTCGAGTTTAGAGTTGAGGGTTTAGGGTTTCCAGAGATGCAAGGCTTGGGTTTCTTTGCTGTAAGTACATGGCTACTACCCCATGAACCCAAGTATCGAATTATAGGGCACTGAGAATTCAAACTTGAAGCATCAGTCCCTAAACCCTAAGCCTAAACCCCTAAACCCTAAACCGCCCAAACCCCTTGAGGGATCATTCCCTAAACCGAATCCCTAAACCGAGACTAGGACTCAGAACTGCAGCGCGGGGGTCGAGCTTCTGGTCTTGGATTTGGGATGCCTGTGACCTGTGTCTCTACGTCCTCTGACGTGGAACCTCAAGCCGGTCTGGGGCTTTTGGCTTAGGCTTTAGGCTTCAGGGTTTAGAATTTAGGGTTTCGGCTTTAGGGTTTAGGCCTTTGGGTTCAGCACCCCGCGCCCATCTTCCCATCCGTCCAGCTTTTTTTTTCCCTTCTCAGCCTGCTACGGCCCAGTAAACCCTTAAACCCTTAAACCCATAAACTCTTAAACCCTAAACCCTAAACCCTAAACCCCCCCTTCACCCTAAACCCTGAACCCTAAACCCTACACCCTAAACCCTACACCCTAAACCCTAAGCCGTAATAGGCCCTGCTCAGAAGGAGACGCGGCTCCTTCACGAAAACCGCCACGGGGCACGCGCCATGAAAGGCCATTCCCTGTCTCGCAATGCTGAAGACCTTGGAGGGTTTAGGGTTTAGGGTTTAGGGTTTAGAGTTTAGGGTTTAGGGTTTAGAGTTTAGGGTTTTTAGGGTCTGTTGATGGACAAAATTCTGCATGACCCAAATGTAGTAGAGTACCATGAATGCCATAGTTTAGGTATATAAGGTCATGCAGGATTTTGTCCATCAACCGCCGGCGACAAGGGACATGCAAGAAGGCGGTGTAACTTTGTGGTATTTTGAATGCAGACTCGGTGCCGATCTATAGGGAGAATAACCCTATCTCTTAAAACACATAAGACCTGGTTTTCGAGCTGAAGTGACCTCCTCTTCGAAGACCACGTAAGCGGCAAAGAACAGCACGTAGGCAGCGAAGAAGAAATTCGCAGCAGGAGAGAACCAAGGCGTTACCAACTTGCCTCAGGGCTTGTAGACGCTTGCATTGAAACTGAGGTCTTTGAAAGTCTTAAAGCACATAATATAGGGTCTTACTGATGAGGATCTGGTTTTGTGGTATATGCTATAATGATAATGTTCACTGTAAGGGGATACTCTTAGCAATTTGTTCCGACCCTGTAACACGCTTTTTGGGAACGTTGATGTGCAGAAGGGTCTGCAGGAAGATCAGCTTCTGGTACGCATTACCTTACGGACTGTGTGTCTAGGTTGTTAGGAGTCCCTCTACACCTCAGACCCTTCTAGGGTTTGCAAGGTTTATAAGGAGCACTTACTGCATAAAACCCTAAACCCTAAACCCTAAACCCTGGGCGAGGGCGATGGCACAGCACCTTGACGGGAATCGAATACCGCAGTCTCCAAGCATAGTTACTACTGGGGCTTCTAGAATTACCAATACTCTTGCGTAAGGATCATTGTAATGGTCATGCTACATTACCCTCTCCATCCGTGTAGGAACTATTTCTGGTCATGGCTTTGTGGAAGCAATTTTGTGCTCATATACATGACCTAAAAAAACAAGGGTTTAATGGAAATATATATTCTTATATATATATATATAGGATATATATACATGATATATATATATATATAATTAATATTAGTAGTGTATATATATATAGTATATAAATATATATATATATATGAATATTATAATATATATATGTATATATATATATATTAGCACTATATATATATATATATAGGTAGTACTTGGGGTACTAGTGGTCGCACTAGTCTAGTAGTACTAGTAGTGGTAGTAGTAGTAGTAGTAGCAGTAGTATTTGTTGTTGTTGTTGTTGTTGTTGTATAGTTAACTAGCGACTAGCTACTACCAGTCGTAGTAGTACGTAGTAGTAGTTAGTAGCTGTAGTAGTAGTAGTAGTAGTAGTAGTAGTAGTAGTCGTAGTAGTAGTAGTAGTAGTAGTAGTAGTAGTAGTAGTACTAGTAGTAGTACTAGTAGTACTACTGGTAGCACTAAACCTTCCAAATCCCGAGGTGTCTGCAAGACGCAAGCTTCGATGCCATTTGAAGCTTCGGTGCTGGTCGCACGTTAGCACATGTGTACATGTAGGCATGTTCATATTCCCTCGAGCATATATGCACACTCACAGCATGCATGACAAGGGTTTGCACGACTGTATCTAAGCAGGTGCTGCAGATTTGCATTTCGAGGCTATATATGCTAGGTCTAGCTAAAAGGTTGATGTGGCAGTGGTGTCTTAGCTGGTCACATGTGCCAACAGCAGCTGGGGAACTTCAGACTTAAGCTTATGTTTAAGCTTGATTTCTGATCGTGCGTGCTTGCCGAATGGATGTGATCATCTCAATTTGCTGAAACAGCATCTCGACTTGAATAGCCGGCAATGACCAGTGGTGTTTGCACTGCAGTGTTGATATCTTGCCTGAGCGGTAATTGTATTCCTCGATTTTCAGGTATTTTTTGCTTTGGGTGTGGCTTCCGGGCCCTGCTGCGCCATATTGCAACTGGGTTGAATTATGCAATCTGCTGCCCCATTGTGAACCTTGTGCCTCGGCCCCCGCTTTGCCTCAGAAGGTGACTGGCCTACGGCCGTGGAGTCTGCATTATGGAGCGTGGATTGGCACTGCGGGAACGGCCCAGCCTCTTGCTCACGACTTAAGCTTAGGTCTGAACGAGCTCGGTTCGTGTCGACCCTTGCTTGGATATGCAAGGTTTACAACCTCATCTGCAGTCAGTGGCTGCACAATATCGCTATCGCGATGGTTCTGAGACTGCATCACAAGATGAGCTCGTGGACGGTCTAGGTGCACCCCACCCCCTTGCCGTTGCTGTGCAGGTGTTTGTGCGTTCTGTGCACATGCATAGATGTGACATGTTGTTGTGGTCGGTTGGCTTTCGAGCTTTTTTCGGGGCCCGAATGCAACGAGCTCCGCAGCTTCGAAGGTGCAGGTGGGGTTTTGGGAATCGTGCCATGTGCATCTGTTAGACGCTTAAGTGGATTGTTCATGGAGGCTGCACATCATGGAGAATCAGCGACTGCTGGAGCAGTTCGTCCTTGAGGAATTCTGAGTTTTATGAGGTTACTTGTGGTGCTGGTGTTTGGAAACGATGACAGGACTTCCTGAATGGATGGATCACGAGGCGTGATGATGTCCTACCGGGCATCCGGCGTCACAAGGACTGTGCATTAAGCATACGTGTTTTTCATGTTGGTCTAAGATCGATGTGGGATGCAGGAGAAGGCGGTGTTGAAAGTGCCAGCTGCGGGTGTGTCGAGTGCAACCATGGCGGGGTGGGTTCTTTTAATGCAGTCAGACTTGCAGCCCTTCACATTGTGAACCTGCTGTGTCCCTGCAGTGCGAAGAAAACTATGAATTTCTCTGCCACTACTTTGCCTCAGTCGGGGCGAAGCTGCCATTGTTTTCTTGCCACAAGGCCAGCAATGAATATAGGGTGTGAGCTGTTCACTCCAGGCTTTGTGCTGCAACGATATATCGTGCTGCAGGCTGTGCTTATGACATTGGCGAAACGCTATGCCATATTTCCACCGCAGACCCGCAAGCGCATCATCAAAGCATCCTTTCGGCCATATATATTATCAGTTCTGTGCATCTGCATTTTGACGAGACATCATTGCCCCTGGTTGCACAAAATTAAGGCATGGGCAGCCACTGAAGCGAGTACGATCAGAGGCATGGCCATCCATGCTTTGCTGCTGACACGAAGATCTTCGGGATCTAAGTGTCATGACTGAATCTTGGTGTTGGGCTGGGCTTCTGGTTTGCACATAAAGTTCCACTTGAAAATCCCTGCATCATTCAAGGTCTTCAAGGATTCGAATGCTCAAGGAGCTGATCAGCTCCGTCATCGGTGCTTTGGCCGTCATTATCATGGCCCCTGCAAGATGATTGCACAAAACACACTATAAATATTGCAGGTGGTTCTGATGTGGATGCAGCTATCGAAGCCGAGATCCAAGCATCTATGCAGGATACATCAGCTGTGCAGGCCCATGGTGTGGTGTCTTATATATATATATATATTATTATATATATATATATATATGCAATATATGTATACATAGCTAGGGTTAGCTCGTACCATCCCTAGTGAAAGTAGCTACTAGAAGTAGCTAGGTAGTCTTACATGTACATGTTGTGGGCTCTTTTCGACAGGATGCAGATTCGCAGTCCTCTGCCTCAATTGATGGTGAGCCACTGGACACCCGGCTGATCGCGAGGCTTTATTTTCTCAGGTCGTAGGGTTTGAAGGTTTTAGGGATTGAGGCTTTAGGGTTTCGGGCTTCAGGGTTTAGGGTTGGAGGCTTAGGGCTTTTAGGGTTAGAGCTTATTATGGGTTATATTATATATATATATATATAGTCGATATATGTATTATAAGGCTAGGGCTTCAAATCGGGTTCAGAATAGCTGCTTGGATTTAGGCCTGGTCTTTGCATTTGGGTTTAACTTCTCAACTAGCAAGCCTCATGATCCCGGCACTGCTCCAACTCGAGATTGCCATCAAGCTTGTTATTAATATACGCCACCCTGAACCGTAAACCCTTGAACCCCATATCTATATAAACTTATAAAACCCTAAACCCCTAAACACTGCACCATTTACTCGCAACCAACCCGATAAAGATGTAATCGACGTTCATGCCCCCAAATTCTTTGAATGAGCAACAACATCAACGAGCCCCACCCAAACTTCGGACCCTAGCAGTAGCCAAGTGATAAGACCCTTAAGCCTTAAATGCCTTATCCTAGCCCAGAAAGGATCAGGATGATCTGCTGGATGACATCAAGATGTCGCCAGCCCCCATCGTCCTGAAAGCTTCATGGTGGCAATCGGCACATGTGGTATGCTTATAGTGCACACACGGTCTACTGCACTTTAAGCTTTCCAGTTGCAGGCTGTGCCGGCCTCGATCGACAACATGGACACCCAGCTGAACTGGTTCGACTGTCCTGCAGGCGACAAAGTTTTGATCGAGGAGGACACACTGTGGTCGTGCATGCCTGTACATGTACACATGTACATGTACGGTTCTGACATTCAATGTGCGTAGTAAGTCGTCTAGCAAGGACAAGGAGAACGGAAAGAGGGCCCCGGTCCATGCTGTGCCGCCGGATCTTAAGTTGTCTGAAGACCTGGTGGCCTTGCACAAAGCTGAGTTGGAACAAGCTCAGCTTACCGAAGCTGTGTCAGAGCAGCTCGAGGTGCAACACACATGCAATGTGCCCTTAATCCCTCCGCAGGTTGCAGTCCTCTAACCCTAAACCCTAAACCCTTTTAAACCCTAAACCCCTAAACCCTAAACCCTAAACCCTAAACCCTAAACCCTTAATCCCCCAAACTACTCTAAGCATTAAGCCTCAGCCTCCAAACTCAGAAAACAAACAGCCAAGCCACCCTAATACCGTCGAGGTAACCCTTTAGCTGTATGTCGGGGTCCTGATAACCTGCTACATGCCTCGACCAAAGCCCATTCCCTGGAAAGGTGCAGAAGGCTACAAGGTTGGCTGCCGCCCAAGAGAAAGTGCAGGCTGCTGCGAAGAAGAACGCCAACGCGGTGTCGAAAGGATCGAAAGTGAAGACAGCAGGACGCGGCCGAGGACGTGGCCGTGGACGTGGATCGAAAGCTGCAAAGCCCGCAGAGCCCGCAGAGCCCACAGAGCCCACAGAGCCCGAAGAGCCCGAAGAGCCCGAAGAGGCCGAAGAGACCGAAGAGACCGAAGAGACCACCGGCCCAGCCCCAAAAGGGAAGCCAAAGGCGAAGGCTAAGGCGAAGACCCAAGCTGTTCCGAAGACCAAAGCTGTTCCGTCGGCAGCTCTCGACGACTGGGCCATGAAGGTGTTCGTTTGAATGTGTTCGAACTTATTAATATATAGTTGCCGTGTGGTTTGTGTGTTGAGGCTGCCGAGCTGAAGAAAAGTGGCGTCCCGATCCCCCCTGACTTCCGTGGCAATGCG